CAAAGGCTGAATAGAAGATAAAACTTCATATTTTGAGGCTTTTGGAGTGACAGATGAAATGATTTTGAATAAAAAATTTAAGTAATTTCAAACATTTAAATGTAAAGGTGCATTGCTTGTAAGAATAATTAAAAATGTAGTTAAAAATGGGTAACTTCGCAGCCAATAAAAAGTAGTAAAATGATTAAAGCAGCTTTAAATTCACGTGATATTGTGGTGATCAGAAAATGCTATGAAATGTGCATGAATCTATGAAATATTTCTTGAGTTGAACGTGGTTGGCAGGGTGGATTGAAATACCCAGTTTTGTCTGGATTCGGGGTGACGACGGTAACCTAATGGTTAAGAATCAGTACTGGTAAACCAAAATTTGCAGGTTCAACCTCATGAAGGAATCACAGCAATCCTGTGATTCCTACTGTACTGTTGTCATGTCATAAAGCAGACCATTTAGTGGTGCAGACCGTCAATTCTTTTCTATAAACTGCCTTGAATGAAAAATAAGTTGCATAAGATCCATTTACTGAAAATAAAGGCACCCAGACCCAAACTTCATCATGAATAGACAGTTACCATAATGGGAAATCACTTTAATATACCCAGCCTCTTAAAAATACAATTCAGTGCACTCATAAAACCTTCATGCGTTTTTCCTTCAACATTCTTTTTTCTTCATTCAAACAAACTGTGACAATGATGGGACTACTTTGAAATTAAAATACATGAATCATCACACAGAAAAATTACAAATAACATTCCTGTCATGTTAAAGGAATAGTTCACTTAAAAATGAAAATTTGCTGAAAATGTACTCACCCTCACGCCATCCAAGATGATTAGATTAGTTAGTTTTTTTATTGGAACAGATTTAAAGAAATTCAGCATTACATCACTTGCTCACCAATGGATCCTCTGCAGTGAATGGGTGCCGTCAGAATGAGAGTCCAAACAGCTGATAAAAACATCACAATAATCCACACGACTCCAGTCCATCAGTTAACATTTTGAAGTGAAAAGCTGTGTGTTTGTACGAAACAAATCAATCAAGATGTTTTTAACTTCAAACCACTGCTTCCGGCTAAAATACTCTAAAAGAGGATTCTGCCTAATAGAGTCCTCTTTCCATAACATTACTTTCTCTGGTAAAAAAGTTGTCTGGTCTGAATCAGGGGAGAAATATGCACCGATCAAGCACTGTTTACAAGCAAAAACAGTCTAAACCATTTCTAAACAAATATTTTGATGTTTTTAATCAGCTCTTCTGACAGCACCCATTTCTCAAACCTGTTCCTATGAAGTTTACATCTCATTTACATCTTGGATGGCCTGAGGGTGAGCTGATTTTCAGCTAATTAAAATTTTTGGGTGAACTATTCCTTTAAGTTTCCATCAATAATCTTCTAAACACTAAACAATGTCTAAAAAAGCTAAAACAATAAGATAAATATGCTTGATCCAGTAATGCAGTGGTCCATAATAATTCATCATCTGCACATGTATCAGCATGAATTTGGTTTACTCTCAATTCTCATTTTAGTGTTCACACTATTATGACTTATTATGCATCATTGCACAAATGGTGTCACAATGGTAGTGTAACCTAAACGTGGTATGGAAAGACATTCATAAAGCGCAGATATTAATTAATGCTATAATACCAATACATACATGACAAACATTTAAGTCATCTTTCATAATGCATATCAACCATTTCATCCCAGCTTTGAGTTACAATCGACATCTCAGTACATCTATACATATATATATAGGATGAGGGAGCATAAATAGCGGCATTATCATCGGAATAGCCCAAAATCTCTCAAGAGGAGCCACTGTGTGGGATAAAAAACAGGCCTGAGAGAATGTCATGGGAGTCAGGCTGTCTACACAAACAAGAGGACAAGAATCGAGATTAGTGTTGAGTTATAGCATTCCAGGGGCTTTCAGAACTCTTCTGCATACCTTCATGTTGACTGAGCCTCATTACTGACATTCCTCCAGCCATCATCACCTTGACTATTATCGCTATGACACTGCTTACAAAGGCAGGATCCTAGACTTTCTCCATGAGACTGTGAAGGTTGATCTAGAGCAGTGGTTCTCAAACTTTTTACAGCGGCGTACCCCCTGGGGCATTTAACATTCTTCTGCGTACCCCCTCTCTTCCACTTAGACCGCAGTCACACCTTTTCTATAAAAGGACATTATTTGCCCCTTAAATTGATTTACAGGTGCATTTTTTACCTTTATAGAGGCAAAGATTTTCTATCCTTATTAACTGTATGTCATGTTTTATGCCATATTCTTAACATTCCATTAAGTGTATTAATATAATAAAGCAATAAATAATGGCAAATCGTAGTGATACTTGTAGATTTAAAAATAAAACCGCCAATAGGTGGCGGCAAGTCACTGTCTTTAATGAGCCAGGCGTCGCATCGCGTCATTCATTCATTCATTCAGTAACGAAGCAAAAATAATCATGAATGGGTTATTAATCACTGACTCTCCAAATCGTTCAAAGCCGCAGATTCGTTCACTAATGAAACACTGCTGTATGTTGCTTGGAGACGCACACCAGATGATACGGATTTTGTTGGAACTATTATTTCGTTGCAAAATAGAACAAACATGACAATATTCTGTTTAAAATGTAGGCTACATTTAAAATGTAAAATGTTCACTTAATATTACCTTTTTTTGTTGAACTGTTGTAAAAAGTGTCACATTTGCCATCGTTTGGATATTCAGGGAAATTTGCATACTGGCTCATATTTTAAACATGAAAACAATAACTCGCACAGGGTATGTGTCTGTATCGAAGAGAGTTTAAATCGATCTCAATGTACAGTGCGTGTCAATATTTGCTCTTCATGCTATTAAGTCACATTTGCCATCGTTTGGATATTCAGGGAAATTTGCATACTGGCTCATATTTTAAACATGAAAACAATAACTCGCACAGGGTATGTGTCTGTATCGAAAAGAGTTTAAATTGATCTCAATGTACAGTGCGTGTCAATTTTGCTCTTCATGCTATTAAAGGCACAATATGTAATTTTCGCCGCTGGAGGGCGCGCATTCAAAATAAACAAATAGACAAAGGTGTAGTTAGATGATGCCGTGACTGAGTGTGGAATCATGGGAGTTGTCATCTTCATCCCCACAGCCGATGCAATCCGATGGGACTCGGGCAGAAATCATGTTCATGGTTGAGTTAATGATTTATTAACGTAGTAGAATGAAGCAGGGTAGGGCTGAAAGCCGTCGAAGCGAAACGAGGCCGCTGAACGAGCGTGACACACGACTCGAAAGCAGCGGAGCTTTTATTATGCCACAGTCGACTGCTTCCGCTCCTTCCGGTCGTGCGTATGTGGGGAAAAAAAAGCAGCGCTGTTTTATCATACTAGATGCGTTTGAAAGTTCTGTTATAATGCTACTCTGTGCGGTCGTCACCGGTCTATTAAAACGCACAACATATTAAAGCGTCTTTGGTATTTCCATGTTTTCTACAAAACAAAACCGGAAATCGAGGTGTTATGACGTCATTGGCAGGCGACACAATGACACTATGGACACGGTCCGTGTCACTAGTTAAAATTGCTTATTTCTCTGTATTTAAACATTCTTCAAAACATTTGGGATAATGTAAGTACACAAGTCAGCAAAATATATAACACTGTTCTAGTGGTTTTTGGATATTTTAATAAAAAAATCTGAAGATCTACTTATTGAACAGGAGCGTGATTTGCTAAAGCAGCATATTCAGCAGGCATCCTATCGCATGCACGCTGCTTGTGTGGATCAGTGGATGCAATCAGTTTTGACCGCAAAAGATGAGGTAAGCTGATCGGATATCATGTATTTGACCGTTTACGGCACTCCCATTTTCCTATTTTTACATTAGAAGCGGCATTTTGCTTGTCAGAAATACATGTTCGGTTTTAATGTTACTTTAAGTTGGGGAAGAATTAGGCTAAATGATTGCCAAAACTCAGAATTTTGTTCATGTACCCCCTCCGTCACCTCAGTTCCAATTTGAGAACCACTGATCTAGAGGTCACATAGTGTCAAAAACAACATGGAAGCAGTACATACTGCTGCCGTTAGGTGCATAATGCTTATAGACTGACCCAAGGCCATGTGTCACTGACATTGAGCACAAGCTCAGAGATGTGGTCAGCACACTAGTGTGTAGTAAATTAGAAAGTCATGGTTGTAAAATCGATATGAAACAAAAAAAAGCATATAAAACATGAAATGCTGCCCACTTATGAAACTACAAAGACAGCTTTGGAGGTATAACAGTAACACTGCAAATAAAAATGTGTTCTTAATGAGTATTTTTGTCTAATCTTCCAGTAAAATTGTCTAAAAATCCTTCAAAGAAGATAAATGCAATCTTTACACATAAAATTTACAACACTACATAAATAAGACTTGCTTTCAATAATATAAATTTTGTTTTGTTTTTGAATGAAGTCTCATACTCAGCAAGGCTGCATTTATTTGATCAAATGCAGTAAAAACAGTAATCTTGTGAAATTACAATTTAAAATAACTCTTTTCTATTTTAATATAGTTTAAAATGTAATTTATTCCTATGATGGCAAAGCTGAATTTTCAGCAGCCATTACTCCAGTCTTCAGTGTCACCTTTAGAAATCATTCTAATATGCGGATTCTGAATACATTTGATTCTTTGATTTGAAGTTCATAAGTACAGCATTTATATATCAAACAGAAATAATTTGTAACATTATAAGTCCTGTTTATACTTTAAACAATGAAACAGTGCAGTAAGTCAAAATTCACTAACATTTAAGATATAACGAGAACTTATGCAGTGTTGCTTCAAGTAAATTTATCTGGAAGTTCTACTGTAACATTTGACTGGAAAAAAGTCAAGAAATACTCATTAAAAACTTTTTAGCAGTGTAGCTTTGACTTTGGTTTCTGTTAAATTGATTTATAATAGCTTTTTGAATACAGGTCCACAAATACTTTAAAATACAGTCTTTCAAATTGATTATGGTACTACTATTAAAAAAAACAATTGTAATTTTTTTTATCATCTCTACAAAATAACTAAGTACAATCAGTTGTACTTTGCTATAAAGGCAAAATATGAAATGCAGAATGAAAGCAGTTTAAATGACTGATTCAAGCCTCTCTGTTGTCATTGCGGAAGCCTGGAGAATGAATGTGCTTGAGGGTCTCAAGCCTGTTATTCAATGACAGCAGGTCAGGGTGGGATTCTTCGTTCTCCAAGTTGAGGGTCCAGTAATCCACTGTGCCGTTCCCCAACAATTCCCCCTCAGTGACGCTGATGCGGCAGCCCCCTTTCCCTGGACACGGGGTGGAAGCCATTCTAGTTTCTGAGCTGGCCAGTTTCTTTGGGTCCAGATTGTCTTTGTGAATGAGATCTGGAACAGAGAGCAGCAGCTGTGACTGATCGACATCCTCTGAATTTTTCTCATCCGTCACCACAGCTGTGGGCTTGTTATTTAGTTCTAAACTGGTCTTCTCCATCTGGCTGTCGACACGGTCGCCGGGTTCTGAAAGTTTCTCAGTGCCGGACTCTTCAGGCTGAAGCTCAGCTTTATCTTTGGAGATCTTGTCATGTGAGGAGACGAAGGAGGATTCTGGGGAGGATACCACGGGGTCAGAGGATATCATCATGTCCTGGGTGGTCTTCAGGGCCCGTGGGAGACGCTTTTTGCCAGTGGGAGGTGGGGGATCTAGCCGAGGGAAAGAATCCAGGGAGATGTGACTGTGTGAGAGAAAGAAAAAGCAAAGACACAATGTGATCACGCAAGATGGAATGACCACAAAAGGTCATTGCAAATATGTGGCCTGAATTTCCTCACACACGGTGGTCCAATAAGATTTATTCACTTCATTTGAATAAATCTTATTAAAGGTAAATTTTAAAGCACCGATCAAGCCTACAGGGAAAGGGAAAAAAGTAAACAGCAGAACACGTCTTTCTTTTGAATTTAGAGGATAATTTTTAGGCAGGATAAAAAGATGGTCCAAAAGACAGCTGGACAACTCATTATCTTTGCCATATTTCCAATGCAGGGAAGTTGATTTGAATTTTAAACTTTGGATTGTGAAGGTTGTAGTTCACTTAGAATCCTTTTGTGACAAAAACCAGTGGCGGCTCGTGGGTTTTAAAATAGAGGAGGCACACTAATTGTATTGGTCTGGGATCCCTGCCAATTATTATTATTATTATTTGCTTAACCACTTTAAAATGGCTTTTTGGTTGCATTTAGTCAGAAAACGTAAAGAAAACGACATACATACAGCAAGATATTATAATTTCACTTACCTGGCACTTGAAGCAAACATCCATCCCTTCTTAAAAGTCTGTGTTAAAAGAGAGCTGCCTGTTGTGCCATTTAATTAAGCCGACTGCTGTAGCCTATATCCAGCTTAGGTTGTTTTATCACATAATTTATGTCTCTGTGATGATTGGTTGATATCAGAAGGAAGGCTAGCCTCCCTTGCGAGGGTTCTTTTCTCAACACTCCCCAGCGCTGAAAGTGAACACTCGATGCTGATTGGCTAATTTTTGTTACCAACGGAGGCACGAGAGCTCACCTCTCCCCCGGCCTCCCCCTACCCTTCTCTATCATTAGCGGTTGCAATTACATCAGCAGATTCGGCACATGCGCGATAGAAAAGCGGCGCTTTCCCGTTATGATATTACAACTGTGAAATTACAAACAAAAAATACACATTCTGAGACATGAACTGAAATGAATTGTGAATTTTATTAACATTAAATCGTCCTCCTCCCATTTTCACCTCAAAATTATGGGGAAGCTGTGCCTCCCCTGCCTCCCCCGACGAGCCGCCACTGACAAAAACTAAAGATGTAAAATAAATAAAGTAATAAAGGTGGGAAAGCAGCAGTACTTAGATTTTTTAAATGCTCTATATAAATAAACACTATCATGGGTAAGTAGTTTTTTTTTTTTTTTTAAAGAAAGGTATATTTTCATTCAGCAAGGATGCATTTTAATTGAGCAATTAGGTCACAGTAAAACTTTTACAATAAGTAGCAATTTTTTTTGACCAAATCAGTACGTAATGGCTGCTAAAAATTCATTTGCCATCACAGGAATACATTTTTTTTTTTTTAAATATATTAAATATTATTTTAAATTGTACTAATATTTCACAATATTACTGTTTGTACTGTATTTTTGATCAAATAAATACAGCCTCTGTGAGAATAAGAGACTTCTTTCAAAAACCAAACTTCTGAACGAAAGTGTAAAATATATATGTTAATATATTATAACATGTTGAAAAAGGTCAGTGGACAAGAATAGTAGATGCAATGACGTAATTACCTTCTCAAGTCACATGAGCTGCTCACAGTCATTTAGTGACACTTTCTTGTAGTGAACGTTCCATATTAAATATCCCATGAGAACAGCACAATTCCCTCAATGCTGCCACATATCTGTGCAATAATAGCCTTACTAGACATGATAAGAAGTTGGTTTCTTGTAAATGCATGATTTCATTTATAATTTTATGAAAGTGGAATTTGCACTTGGTCTGTTGAAGATATGAATGTTGATGAAAGCCATAAAGTCTATGGGTCTTTTTCACCCATTTTAACATCCACCAGGTAAAAAAAAAATCAGCTCTCCTCATCAGGCCCCTCAATTTGAGGTATAATTCCACATATCATGAAGCTTGCGTAACAAGCTGACTACTTATGTTTTGTCTTTCTAGCACTAACTCCAAGTAGTAATGTCTTTCAATGATTATGAATATAAAGGCATTATTTCCACAAATTTTATGAGCAGGCATAATAAAAAGCTGGAAGGAATGTGTATAATAGATGTTACACAACTGGTAAGATTCCAGCCAATTAAGCCAAACCCTCGACGCAAGTCAAAGTTTGCCTGACGCAACACACACACAGACTCACACAAACAGACACATGTATATTCCCTTGAAGGCTGCTCATAATGAATGCAGTTGCTGTAGGGCTGCATGAAAAGCTTTTTTTCCCCCCTCTCAAAGAGATGTCAGTCAAATCTTTCCTGTAACTCATGGTGTTCACAAATAATAACAGAGCTCAAAGACATTTCTCCTGTTTTCACATTCAATGCTGAAAGAGATATGATCTGCCATAGAGAAATATGAATCTTGATAAATGATGGTCTATAAGGAGTGAATGAATAGATCAACACACGTATGGCACACTACTGGTCAAAAGTTTTGAATAATTAAGATTTTTTCATGTTTTTAAAATAAGTCTCTTGTTCTCAGCAAAGGCTGCATTTATTTGGTCAAAAATACAGTAAATCAGTAATATTGTGAAATATTACAATGAAAAAACAGTTTCTATTGTAATACATTTCAAAATGTAACTTATTCCTGTGATGGCAAAGCAAAATTAATATGCTGATTACAAGAAACATTTCTTATTATTAATGAAAACAGTAGTGATGCTTAATATTTTTGTGAAAACAGTGATGAACAGAAAGTTCAAAAGATCAGCATTTACATGAACTAGAAATCTTTTGTAATATTATAAATGTCTTTACTGTCATCGATCAATTTAATGTGTTCTTGCCAAATGAAAGTATTAATTTTTCTTTAAAAATAGGTAAAAAAAAAAACGTAGTGTATCATGGTTTTCACCAAAGTATGAAGCAGCACAACTTTTTTGAACATAAGAATAAGAAATGTTTCTGAATGTCACAGAAAACTGGAGTAACAGCTGCTGAAAATTCAGCTTTGTCATCACAAGGAATAAATTACATTTAAAATATATTAAAATAAAGAACAATTCTTTTAAATTGTAATACCACTTCACAATATTAAATTTTTTTCCCCTTTGGATGGAACACATTCATTCAGCATTACTGGATGAAAGTGAACTGGAACCAGATCAAAAATCACCCCACGTTTAGAGGAATATTGTGTTTACGTCCTTGTTTATTTGACATTTATTAGTCAGGACAGTGAAGAGGGGGTATCGGATTGGGACATGACACAGTCCAGCCCTGAATCTGTCTCTGTAGAAGCACTACGGGCCTTAAATGTCAAGAGCAAGTATCACAGCTGACAATTTCCTAGCAATTTTATTCTAAGCAAATAAAATTTTTTTAATTGAAGTCAATTGAACAGTGGCGGATCATCGGGGGAGGCAGCTTCCCCAAAATGTTGAGGTGAAAATGGGAGGAAGACAATTTAATGTTAATAAAATTCACAATTCATTTCAGTTCATGTCTCAGAATGTGTATTTATTGTTTGTAATTTCACAGCTGTAATACCATACCATGGTAATGAAGTTGGAAATCGCAGCTTTTCTATCGTGAATGTGCCGAATCTGCTGATGTAATTACAACCGCTAGGTGATAGAGAAGGGGAGGCTGGGGGAGAGCTGAGCTCTCGTGCGTCCGTTGGTAAAAAAAATTAGCCAATCAGCATCGAGTGTTCACTTTCAGTGCTGAGGAGTGTTGAGAAAAGAACCCTCGCAAATAAAAAAAAAGGGAAAACACCCCTAAGCTGGATATAGGCTACAGCAGTCGGCTTAATTAAATGGCACAACAGGCAGCTCTCTTTTAACATTGAATATAATGACTGTATTGAGGTCATTGGCGTTTACAGCTGAGAGTGAAATCTTTACCCGTTTCTTACTGTACTATGGCCAGTCTCAGTCAGGCTGGACCACACTGGCTCCACGTTCTTATTCACCTCTGTGACTCCGATGTCTCCGTGGCTGTTGGGATCTTTTCGGCGGAGCAGGTCATTTACCTTCGCTCCCATGGCTTTGCCCAAGTTCAGGGCGTTTTTTAGGTGCTGGCTGCCTCCCGTCTTCGATCCTGCCAGGGCAGAGGTGTCTGTGGAGGCTGCTGGACGAAAGTTCAGCTTCGGCTGTTCCACAGTGTTGCAGTTCTCAAACATGCTTTGGTCCACTAAGGAACAAAATAAAAAAATTTTTTTTTCAGACAAAGTGATTCATACTACATTAACATTTAAAGGTGACTTCAGTAGGTACTTAAATGCATGATTGTTTAAAACTGAAAGTGCAACACTCACTGCAGAACATTTTTCATTCAACCAATTTGTTCAACATAAACTTACTATTGTTATGTTTTATGCTTTCTAAGATCTATCAGATTAAATGTAGGGATGCATTTTCATGCTTTGGCTGATAACTGATAAATAACCAATATTAAATTTCTGCACTGTTTTTAATAAATAAATTGGTAACGCTTTACAATAAGGTTCCATTTGTTAACATTAGCTAACTACATTAGTTAACAAACTAACAATGAAAAATACTTCTAAAGCATTTATTAATCTTAGTTAATGTTGATTCCAAAATGTATTAATGCATTATTAAAATGAAGAGATGTATCTATTAATGTTAGTTAAATGGACCTGAGCTAACATGGACTAAAAATGAACAGCTGTATTTATTAACTAATGTTAACAAAGTTTAATAAATAATGTAACAAATGTATTGCTCATTGTTAGTTAATGCATTAAATATAGTTAACAAATGGAATACATTTATAATAATAAAAAAATCGTTCTAAATGCTAAAAGTGGATTTAAGCATGACAACCCTCTAAAATACATGAAAAATACATTATAAAATACATGAAAAATGAATATTAATTTAGATATTTGTTGAAAACTACTTTCACAATGTGATTAAATTGTGAAAAAAACCAAGCTGTAAAAACCCCCACAATTAAATATTCAGTATTACCTGACATATACTGTATATCCATTATCAACAGATACCATTTAAAAAAGTACAGATAAACAATGACACCGATATCATGCATCCCTAATTTCATGCAGTAGTAATTAAGCATTTTATACATCAAATGTTGAGCAATAGACAAGTTCACGCAAAAAACAAAACAAAAAAAAAACACAACGACACCAACATAGGCAGAAAATGGCCTAAAAAAAATAATAAAATAATAAATAAAATAAAATACAAAAAAAAAAAAAAAAGCATTTGGCAGGTCAAAAGAAGTCATGTTTCTTACCTCGGAACCAATTATTTCATGATTAGCATTTGAATGACAAAGAGAGCATAATTTATTGTTTGTATCTAACAAAACAGTGCATTAATGCTCATACATGCAACTAGAACAAAAAACAAAAGAAACAAACAAAAAAAAACTTTTACCTTTTAAAAGGTGACTGAAGAGAGGGAGACCAACAGTGATAAAGATGGAATGATTTGCAATTTGCCAACAAAAGTGGCCCCTGATGTAGCGTTCTATTTCAACTTCAGCTTCTATTTAGGCCATTCAAAGCCATTTACAATAAAAGCTGTTTATTAGTCTGGCTATAATCAAATGTGATTTTAAGAAACTCTTGAAAGCATTTGATGTGGCATAGTTATTTCCAGCTTGTTAAACTCAAAGTTTCAACACTTGCTCATGGAGGAGTAAGAATTCTCATTAGCTGGTGAGTCTCTCACAGACGACAAACTTGGGCCACATACGAAACTAGAGAGGCTTTTCCACACAAATATTTGACAAAGAGAAGTTATTTTGATGCTGACAATGTCTTGGCTCTGCAGGCAAGGCAAACAGATGAATGAGGGAAAACAGTGTGCCAAAAACAGCATGCTGTTGTCATGGTAATCAGGGGAAAAAAATTTACCATTTGCAAAGGGTCTGCCTTTCTTTTCCAGACACACCACTGGGTAACAAGAGCAGCTTAAATCATTGACAGGATTGATCTTCAAAACGTGCATCATCAGGCTGAATTAATCAATTAAGCAAAAGCTTAAACTAGCACAACATGCTGCTATAATGCGTGCTGGAGAGAAATGGCCAGGAGAAAAGTAGCTACTCGTCTGTGGTTTCATGTGATTGTCTGCGGTAGCACACCAATAGGGCCATCTGACATCTGAAAGAGATAACTGATGCCCAAACCACTAAGCACTTCACTGGCTGACACGTTACTTCATCTGCTAAAGCTACAATACCCAGACTGATTCTATTATGTTTGTGTATCAGCCTCAGATGGGCCACTCACAGCCCACCCACAAAACTAAAAAATACTCAATTAGGTTGTCTGACTGCAAAACATCTTCAGCAAAATCATGTTTAAAAAGTATTTTTGTACAGTCTATTATTCTAGTATAATCCATTTCAGATTGATCTGTCCTGAAAATTCAACTAAAAACAAAGCAATCTATGGTTGGTCAGGTTACATGTTATTCAGACAGGCTCGTCCTGTCTAAGTGGGTAGTTTTTGGCCAAAACACGTAGAAACTGGACCAGATTTTATGCTGAAAATCACAAGTATGGTTCTGTAAATCTAGATTTTGAGTGAGGAAGAGAGAAAGTAGTAGGATGTACAGCAAATGTTCAGCTTCCAATTTTGAGCGTTACGCAGTGATCATTGGTTTTGATCCTTCTCCACAGGGCTGGACATTATCATGTAGCTCGTGGCTGCAGTTTAAAATACCTCACTGAGGCTCCGCCACAGTAGCAAATGTTAGGAGGGTATCTGACACGCTGCTATTCTGGGCTGGTTTATGAGCTCCTGATGTGTCCCAGCAGGAACACCTCTGGACCAAACACTGTCCAGCACACACATGCACGCGCCGCATGGGTAACGGGGTTGCCACTTTTTGACCAATGAATTTCCATATTTCCAGTTAAGTTTAATGCACATTAAAAAACATCAAAAAAGCATGAACTTGAACAATTTTAATTGTTTTAATTTTAATTTTTAATTCAATTTTAAAATGATAATATAATATAATTCTAGAAATTATAATAAAATTCAAAAAAGCACATCCTATTGGATATGATTTTGATATATTTTTATTATAATTTATAAAATTCTATAAATAATTATTCTAGAAATTATAATTACAATAAAATAATACACATTTTAAAAGTTCTTGCAAAAGACATTTCCTATTTGAGACATTGATGATATTTTTATAGGAAATATAATAATATAATATAAATATATATTATACCTTTTTATTTAAAATATAATATAATATAATATATTAAAAAGCTATTACATTAAATATATTAAAAAGTATATTTGATTATAATATACTTTCTAAATTTCTAAATTATAATTACAGTAAAATGCAATACATTTTTGAAGTCTCAGAAGTAGTGTTGTCAAAAGACCCGGTATTTCGGTACCAAGTCGGTACTACAAAAATGACTAACACTGTTGCCGCGGGCTGTTTTTCATGTTCCCGGGTTGAAAAACGACCCCATTAATGTGATATTTAGCCCCTGGAATGCGAGGAATGGCCAGGGGAACCCCGCCAAAACACGCGTATTTTATCCCCGGAACGCGATTTTTAACGGGGACCCCTCGAAACGCTGAGGAAGATCCTGAAAACACCAGCAAACCCTAAAACAGACAACAGTTTACAGATGTTTTTCAGCGACCGCAGAACTATGACTAAACTTTTGGGTGAAACTTGTTTACTTTTTTCATACTTTTATTACTTGTGGAAAAACTTGAAACACTTTTAAATAAGTATAAAGAATGGCATTGGTTTTGTACATTTAATTTTTGTTTAACATTATTAATAAAAATGTTGTTCAATTAGCATGTTTTTGTGTTTTGCTTTGGTACCGAAATTGTTACCGAGAACCGTGGATTTTCACTGGTATCGGTACCGAATACTGAAATGTTGGTACCGTGACAACACTACTCAGAAGAGACATTCTATTTGATATATATTTTTTTCTTTTTTCTATTGTTGGAACCCTGATGGTAAAACATTAAAATGCATTTGTAAGATTTTCTCATCTCTCAAGACCCCTGTATTTATAACCCAAACAAAAATAATCACACTGAAAAGTGACCAGATTTTATATTTCATAATGCACTACATCATTCAGTACAGAATCAAAAAATAACCGATGAAAAAATTAATTAAATGTATTTACACCCCAAGCCAAAAAACTACCATCTTTACTTGGATAAATTAGAAAATAACAACAAATAAATAAAGCAATTTAACCCATTATCTCCAAGTTGGCTGACCTAGATGTTCAGGTCAGTAGAAGATGAGTCAAACATCAATATTTCATTTGAACCCTCTTTCTAGCCTGAATCTTTAAATACAAGGGCAGGGGGATGGGGAAAAGAGTTAGCCCTGGATAACACATGAAGAGAGGGTCAAGGTGGAGTAACCTGAAATGCACTTGCACCATCTGACTCCCTGTTATCAACTCAATCATTAACACAAATGAGCTGGAGCACCATAGTGGCACAGCGGCCCAGAATAAAACCATCAGTGTCAGGACTTCTAAATGAAAAGAGAAGAGAACTTCACAAGCAAACTGCACTGTTAGGACTATCCATTAGCTTTATCTTTGTTGAACAGCACCGCTGACTGACTAGTCTCCTTGGTACTGTAGATATACTGTAGAACATATAAGGGTAGAAAGGAAATAAATGAATACAAATCCTAAAAAGAGCAACAAAAACACCACCACCAAAAACCGTAGATGGCATGGAAATGTTCCTGGTCAATAGCTATTTGTATGTTAAGCAGCGTGCTGGAACCTACACCAGCACTTGAAAAAAATGCACTGGCAAAAAATGGATTTTTGAAAGACGATAAATCTCAAACTATATCAGAACAGTGTTACAATTAAGGTGAGACCAAACAGCAGCACTGAACACATAAAAACTAGATGTGGAGATGTTATTATGGCAATGTTCTGCTACCGAAGAGAAAAAAATAACAGTGAACATAACAGGAGACAATGCCCCCATTTTCATTCAACTTCAAATCTCAGATCAATAATTAATCAAAGGTTCCGTCACATCAATGTCAAGCAGTAACATGCATGCAATGCAGCTATCTGCAAGTTTACCACTGATGAAATAAAGAGATTTGTAGCAAGTAGACTGTGATTCCAGATAATGACAGCTTTTTTACTTGATC